CTGTTGTTACCTGAACAATTACTTACCATGCTGGGAAGTTCTCACTTAAACTTCTTCTGATGGAGGATTGGAACCCTTGCTGTTACCCGATTGGTTACTACATATATATCTCGGAATCTTACCAAACTGGGGAGTCCTCACGTAAATTTTCGTCAGATGGAGGACTGGAGCCCTTGCTATTACCTGAAGAATTACTTAAGATACATGTCATAATCTTACCAAACTGGGGTGTCCTCACATAAACCTCTTCTGATGGAGGACTGAAGCCCTTTCTATTGCCTGAACGGTTACTACAGATATATCTCGGAATCTTACCAAACTGGGGAGTCCTCACGTAAATTTCGTCAGATGGAGGACCAGAACCCTTGCTGTTGAAAGCCTGGACGACAATAATATACTCGGTATCTCTTTCTAAGCCCGATATTTCCTGCGTTGCTACGTCTTTATCCCTGAGCATCACGGTTCGGTAGGTGAACGATTCTGATGACCCTCGTGGTTTGATGCCAACGTAGTAACCTTGTATATCAACACCTGTATTCGACTCTTTTAACAGCTGAGAAGAAAATATAAAACAATTTATAAATGTACTTCAAATTAATATTCCCATTTGTTTCACTATACGATCCACGTAAACGAACCGTATTTATGACCACTAAACCACCGTATCTCTAGTAAGGCATTATACCTAATGACCTTGAAGGTAGAACTGTTTACAGTGAGGGACTATCATATGAAACAAATCAAAATAAATTCGTGAAAAGTGATGGAACTGTATTGTTGTTTAAGAGGGATATACATAAATAGGGACACTATGAGATCCTAAAATACTCAATTAACATAGAATAAATATAATGAAACGCGTTTAAATAAAAAGAAAAATACTGTTATATTGCGAGCAGTTATTTAATTCTGTTGGAAAAGTGTTAATGACGATATGCATAACAAATCACAAAGTGCGAAACCGATACATGCACGTAATGAACCTGTAAACATATACAACACAAGATAACTGCTGACTAGATAGCATAGGACAATTAACATGGAAACGATACGTGCACGTAATGAACTTGTAAACATATATAACACAAGATAACTGCTGACTAGAGAGCATAAAACAACTAACATGGAAACGATACGTGCATGTAATGAACTTGT